CTCCGTGTACCGTAACAAAGGTGCAGCCCCTGCAATGACTCACCCACGGCGCTGCTGGTGTAAGGGCGTTCGCTCGAGGTATCTCGAGACAACCGCGACACGGGGTCGTTCTTTCGCGCTTGTTGCGTGCCATGCTCATCCACAGCTGGTCACAGATCTCGGACGAGGTGGGAGATGACCCACAATTTATCCCCAACTTCGTCTGCACGCGACTGACGCGTGTGGCTGGACCCAGTTACACTGATGGGGTGCAGAGGGGCGTGTGGGGTGCTCGGTGGGGGTGGTGGTAAGTGAAGAGAACTCGCGCCTGGAGATCGAATCAAATCGAATCGGCGACTTCTGTGTGTACGTAGCTATGTGAGTGCTGGATTGCATGTCCGGAGTGCATATACAAATACACGCTACAAAGACAGATCCCCCGTGCAGCAGTAACAGACTGTCGGGGCAAGTGCTTTTAGCGAGTACATATGAAGGCCGGCGCGGCGAACGAGGGGAAGATGTGGTCAGCACCACGCCCAGCCGCCTTTGTCTCCCCAGTGGCGATGTTTACACACCGTACCAAGTACTCATTTGAGGCGGAGTCGAGCTAGGGGATGCCCAGAACCGGTTCAGTTAATTGACACTGGTGTTGGTGGCCGTGAGCGGGACACGAACTCGAGTCGCCGGGTTCGTAGTGCAGCGCGCTGAACCACTGCACTACCCACCAATGTCCTGCACACACACAACACATCGCACACGTAATTCTCAATACACATATATTATTTGAGTTTCACACCTTGTTCTGGGCGCACATTATTAGCGTGCGCACGCGCGCGCGATTGTGTGTCGCCTGTCCCTTCCTGCTGCGCTTCCGTGCACAGGCAACGTTGGCCTTGCCCTGTTGCTGTAAAGAGCAGGGAGGGAGGGAGAGAGAGAGAGAGAAGGGAGTAGGGAGGAGGGGAGCGGAGGGATGGATGGAGGTAGCAGGAGCAGGGCAGAGGCAAGGCAGCAACGCAGCGCTAATTGAGATTGATCGACTGCAGTGCCGTTGACGGGAGCCTCCTTTGCCCTGGTGGTTGTCTGAAGGGAACAGAGAGAGAGAGAGAGGGGAGAACGCAGGAACGCGCGCAACATTCGTCAATAACGCTGCCCCTAAAGGAACAGCCCCCACCACCACCATCCCCACCGCTGCCGCCAGCGCCAATCTATACACTGTATATATATAAAAGGCGACGTTTCGCACGATGACCTTTTTTTACAGCAAAAAAATGTGTTCGGGGTTGTTGGTTGCTGGTGGTTATTACGCGGGTGTACCTAGCCTGGTACAAGCGCCGTGGTGACGTCACCGCCACATAGTGGCGGACTGCGATTGTTGTCATGCGGGGAGCGGTTAGCGCGCTAGGCGGTTAACCCGGCGACCCGGGTTCGATTCCCGCTCACGGCCAACACCAGGGACGATTATCTGAACTTGTCTTGTGCCTCCCCTAGGTCGACTCTCGTGCGCCGTGCCGGCTTTCATGGGTGCTCGCCAGCAGCACTTGCCCCTACAGTCTGTGCAGGCTACACGGGGAATCGAATGTGCACATGCACATGCACAACCCTTTCGTCGATCCACTGCTGGATGGAGGACGAGGCGCCTCCCGACTCGGTGTCGGTAATGGGGCTCGTTTTGATTTTAGTTCATCATGCGGGTTGGCGCGGGTTGTTGATGGTAGGGAAGGTTTAGACGTGTGGGAGCATAGCAGTACGGTGCAGCAACGGATGTTGCCCACCGCCAGCAGATTGTGCATGGCGGTCACCCATGCGAACACCACCCAGGCTCAGCCCTGCTTCGCTTTCCGAGAGCTGACGAGATCGAGCGCACCGCGAGATATTCGCTCACGCACCAACGCGCAGTCTATAGATAGATGGATAGGGCGATATGAACACGGACGGCGTGCGTAAACAACAGGGCATTGCACATAAAGACAGATGGAGAAATGCAACCCCACGCGGGATACATACTTTAAACCACGCATGTCAAGGTCAAGGGGTCATCACGACTCATCACAGTCGCCTTTCTAACCCCTGTTGGGTCGCCAAGTGCCCACTGTTGTGCGCATGGAGATCATGCCCTACACGATCAACGTCCTCTTACATGTGCACACGTACGGCGCTCTGTCTATCCACTGCTGGATGAGGGCCTTCCACGCCGTGCTAGATCGTGGGGGTTAAGGGGGGGGGGGTTATTTCATCATAGCTCACTCCACACTGTTTAGTGCGGGTGAATGGCGATAGGAAGCGTACGGACGTGGGAGCTTAGAAGTGCAGTACAACAATGGATTGCCCCTGCGTTTGCAATAATTGTATCCTGCAAGCGCATTCAATTGCAAATCGGTTTACAAAACTGCGCCCGGTAAGGACGGTTTATTGTGGAGAGACGCACGCCAAGTCTCAATGCATTTTGCCTAGAGGGTCCGAGCGCCTACATGGGGATATTTGGCCAATTTTATTGATGAGCGCTGAGCTTCACGTGGAAGTAAACCGGAGTGACGATCAGAACCGGAGTCTTTATTTAGACTGCAGGAGGAATCCGATGAGCTATGAAGCTCTTATATTCACGGCTGTCCAGTAGGGACGAGTCAGCAAAGTTACAACAGAAACTAATGCAAAAACAACGATAGGAGTGCAACAAATAGAGAACGTGTAAACAAATACACTAAACATCAATAAATACAATAAAGTAATTACTGTACGTACATATTGTATAAGTACGTACATTCCTGCCGATGTTTCTTTTTTTTTTTTTAAACACCGACCACGTGTTGACCACGAGGGGGTGCCTCTCAGCAGTGCCACCTGTTGGCCACACCCCGAGGGCACGCGCCTACAGCACCTGGCAAGCAGTGGCGACGGTCGCCCGCCCCCAGGTACTAACCAGGCTCAACTACCCTTACAGCCTCGGAGCTCTAACAATATCGGGCATATTGAGTGTGATTTGGCCGTTGGCAATTGCTACACCACTATCCTCAAAGGGTGCATGCATACATGGGTAACAAGTACTGCGTATAAATCATTACTACTGTGAGCTGTCTTGGTAGATTATGGGTAATACATTGTGAATAAAGAGACGCAGTTATGTTTAACCACCAAATGTAACATTAAACAACATTGAGATCCATCTGGCGCGAACGTTTTCCAGTCACATTTGTTCAAGCAGTAAATACTGGACGCGGTTTCGAGTTTTCTGGCTGAGTCATCATTTTTAAAAATTCATTCACGTAATTATTCATAATAATGTTCAAGCTGTCAATCCATTGCTGGATGAATGCCTCGACACTCCTTAATGATTATGGAGATATCGATTTTTTTCCATTTTTTACCCCGCTGGTGATCCGTGTCAGATACCACTAGCAATTGATTTTAGCCGTGGCCAGGAATCGAACTTCCAAACGCCGCGTTCGCAGCACAGTGCACGGCTCTGTTATAGCCATCGAACAAAGACGGCCGTCACATCACGCGCTTTCAAATGCACTGCTGCGGCCGTCTGGAACGATCTTCCTTCCATTCTTAGGAAGCCACTGGGAGCTGTACACTTTAAATCTGGACTTAAAACTCATTCCTTTACAACTGATTATTGTGTTTAGTTTGTTGTCCTTTCCCCGCACCTCCGATTAGCAACGGTTGCCTACGAAAGAAATTCAACATTCTTACCACGGCTTGGCATTCGCACAGGATGAGCGTTAACGCAAACTGGTCACGGATAGGTAAAATGCAAATGCCGGAAATTGCTTGCAAAAATCAACTGACGGAGGGAGTGTGAGAGCCTGAGAGAGAGAGAGCGTACGAGTTAGATTTACTGCAGAAAACAAATTGGATAAGGACTCATTATGTGCATGCGGTGGAGCATTCTGGGTAATTAAAAGCATTAATAAATATACCTCCATTATTGCAAATCTACTCGGCAGCAGCAGTAGTAATCAACCGCTGATCCGGATTGGAAATATTTCATTGTGTTCTATTTTTTTTTGTCATCTGGGCCCCATAATTTAGAGGGAGTGCTCTCACCAACAATAACCGGTGAAGAGCAACATGAAAGACGCCTTAACTGCTGATTAGACACGGGAGGTTTAAAACTGACTTAAAATAAACAACAACTGATGATTAACCTCAGTCCATCTGCCGAGATGTGGCGCAGTTATTAGCGCACTGGCGTGGTGATAGAACCCACTAGGGGGTTGGTAACCAACATAACAAGAACAGACATTTTTTTCGAATTTGTTAAATATATATATACATTTCCAGAGCCGCATTGCACGGTGGTCCCTAATAAACAATGACACGAAGCAGTCCTTAATGTGCCGCAGGTTGCCAACCCCTGGACTAGACCATCTGAGTTCGATTCTCAACGTCAGCGGTCATATCTGCACAGGTCGTGTGCGATACCTTCATCAACCAGTTCAGACCAGAGTGGTGATGAAGTATGGTGAACCAGAACAAAAAGACGTTACCTACGCGGCGTGGAGGAGACCTTCATCCAGGAGTGAATTGACAAAGGGCAACGAATCAATAGACCGATAGAGTGAAATAAGAATTTACATTTGGGTGTTGAGATAGGTAGCGGAAGCCAATTCATTTGTTGCCAGAAAACCAGATCCGAGAAAATGTGGCCAGGGCTGTTAGGCCGAGCTGATGAGACAATATCCACCTGGAGGTGCATAGCAGGACACGGCAGAGTGCAGGATACCGCGAGTGATGCGTGGGTTGTGCGAGGAGAGAGGGAGGGAGAGAGCGGGAGAGGGATAGGGAGGGGGGAGGGATAGAACAGAGGGAGGGAGTAAGGGATGTAGGGAGGGAGGGAGGATGTGGGATGGAGGTAGGGAGGGAGCAGGCTGGCTGGGAGTGGATATAAAAGAGCAGAACGATTCTCCGTGGGATATAGGACGGAGTAAGTGGAGCGGTAGGGAGGGAGTGTGTGTGCATGTGGCTGTGTGTTGTCTGTGTGTGTGCGCGCAAGGAGAGAGCGAGAGAGTGAGTGAGAGAGAGAAAGAAGTGGAGGGGAGGGGAGAGAGATGAGAGAGAGAGGTGGGGGCGGTGAGGGTGGTTGTGGTGGTTAAGCTGCGAGCCACTCCGCTGCGCTGTGCCTCTTCCTCTCAGCCATCGCATCGTCGCGCACCGCTTCTCCAGCGCTCCGCCCAAGGTAAGCGCGCTCGGGGGAGAGCGCGCTCGGGCGTTCGCGTTGGATCCATCAGCTACCGCGCCTGGGCAATAGCGGCCGTGGTTACTTCGTCTTGCAAAGTGATACGCGTGCAGTGTTGCAAACATCATAATCGTCATTATCACCAACACCGCCTTCGCCGTCGACGCACCCGTCACCACCGCCACCACCATCATCATCATAACAACACAGCTGACTTGATCATATCGCCCGCTGGGCTTTGGCAAGCGCGTGTTGTGATTTGTGGGGAGAAGTGTGCGCAGCGGTAAGCGCGCTGCGCTACGCCACCCGGTCACCCGAGTTCGATTCCAGCTCACGGACAACGCCAGCGACGATCGTCCGAACCGATCTCAGCCTCAAGTCAGTGGCTGCTGTGGGGTGAAAAACATCGTTGCGCCGTGCCGGCCTTCGTCGGTTCTCGCCAACAGCACTTGCCCTAAAAAAGTCTGCCGAGGCTTTGCGGGGGATATTTGTCTGCGTATTAATTGTTGTACTCGCCGAGACCCGGAGGGAGGGGACTCGCAACGGTGACGTGACCGTAAACTCCGCAGGCTACATTTTTCATTCGCGAGCAACTCCGATTGAATTAGGATTTACCGTATTCCGATTAATGACATCGATCGAAATCGCTCCCCCGTCCCTCCCGCTCTCCCTCGCTGGCGCACGCATCTCTGTCGGGCGGGCACACGGCGAACAACCCAAGCCCTCGAAAACTCTCTTGATACAAAGATCGCGCGTCTCCCTCGCCCGTCCCCTCTCGTGTCGATGTCAGTTCGAGAAAAAGAAGCCGAGAAAGCCGCCACGCATCAGCCCGCAATCACCAGGCGGTACATTCCACGTGTTTGCTCCCAGAAGCGCAGTAGCTATTCCCTCGAGAAAGTCACACCTCGAGAGAGAGCGTCCCCACCCTTCCAACTGCTGATGCAAGCGCCGCCTGCAACTGCATAACCGTGTAATCTTTCAGCGCGTGGCCAATCCGATATATATTAAATCAGCCGGCATTGTTAATCTCTCCATATAAAATAATTGGGATTTGTTTTTTTAATTCTTGTTTGACACTCAGTTCGCCTAACGGTCTTCTCGACTGATGTTTTGCCAGCGGCATTGCGCTCAGCAAGCGAACTCACTCCAGGGCGGTTTCGATCGGCCGAGTCTCATCAGCAGTGTCAGGCGCATTAAACAAACGCTCATAGGGTTACCGAGTGTTGGTCGTGAGGGTACACCCTCGAGTCTAGACGATTGGCACTACCAGCGCAAACGCAATCCCGAATAAACTGAAACAAGTGGGCCGAATTGGGGCGTAGGTCGATTTATTATAACAAAGAATGCCCTTCAATAGCGCAACACGCATAACCCGTTCGTCAATTCGTTGCTGTATGCGGGCTTACCCCCTCGGCGTGTCGGATATAGGATTCCGCTCACCATACTTCACCGCGCTGGTCAGTGCGGGTTGATTTAAAATTTCGAACTGAGGTCGTCGAATTTGTGACCGCGATGTGCTAACCACTCTGCCACCGCTCCATCGCCGCTGCATAATGAGCCTGATTTAATTCGGATAACCTGGCGCTAATGGTTATGTGTTAATCTTAATCATGAATGCCCAGGGGAGGTGGTGTGGGAGTCGGATTTGCTTCTGGGTACGTGATGTTATCTCCCTCGCCTAGTATACAAGAGGTCGTGGGTCCGATTCCGATCCTGACGTCTGCAAATTTTGAGTTTGCAAATTCTCCCCGTCGTCGCGTGCATTTTTCTCCCGGTCATCCGGTTTTTACCTCCACATTTAGAATCGTAAGAAGCCACTTTGTTGAGCTATCGTTTTTAATAGCCAGGTCCACTTCTGAAAAAGAGCTATATAGCTCAGTGGGCCTTACCTGGCAAAATTAAAAATAGTAAAATAAAAAATAGAATGCGATGGCAAGTCGGTCATACCAACACTCTGTCCAAACAAGGCCTAGCCGAGTCGCAATACTCTTTGTCGGCTAGGCTTCTGCATTGGGGAGGTGTTTGGCGAATTACATTCGGGATGAGAGTTTTTGGTTTCACGGAGGAGGGGGAGCCCGGGTAGCTCAACGGGGTTAGAGCCTCAGAGGTTCCATGTGGTGGGCGTGGGTTCAAGTCCCTGTTTGGGTCGGTGATAACGAGTTTGTAAGTCGTCCCGCTCGTGTGCAGAGATGCCCTCCGCGTGCTCCGGTTTCTTCCCATAGCATTTCGTTGTCTATATATATAAATTAACCTAATTGTAATTGGTATTGGTCAAATATCCCAATAAATGAGTGAATTGGCATTATACTTTTAGCTTCGCCTCCCGACTGAAAACTTAGTAGGAATATTTGGCTGCTATAAATTTCCACGTGATAAGCCACTTCGTTGAGCTATTATTTATGGCCAGATTGCTTCTGAAAACGAGCTACATAGCTCAGTGGGCCTTACCTGGTAAAAAAAAATTGTTTAGTTTAGAAGTAAGAGTTTAGATTCAGTGAGGCTTTCCTGGTGAAACAAGTGTAGTAGTAATAATACCGGGGTGGGGGAATCTAACCACGCCGTGTACGAGGGGATGACAGTCATCACTGTTATCTCCTACTGACCACACCTCGACACCCCACGTCTAAAACATCTGGCAAGACCTGGTGGGCAGCCATCTGGGAGGATCCAAAACTAATCAGGCGCAGCAATTGGTGGCACTGCTCTTTGAATCCGGTCACCCGAGTCTGAATCTTGGCCAAGAATCTGACTGACGCGAATAAGTATGGTCCAGCATGGTCCAGTATGGTCCAGTATGGTCCAGCATGGTCCAGCATGGTCCAGTATGTTCCAGTATGGTCCAGCATTATCCAGCATGGTCCAGTGTGGTCCAGTGTGGTCCAGCGTGGTCCAGCATGGTCCAGCATGATCCAGTATGGTCCAGTATGGTCTAGCATGGTCCAGCATGGTCCAGCATGGTCCAGCATGATCCAGTATGATCCAGCATGATCCAGCATGGTCCAGTATGGTCCAGCATTGTCCAGCATGATCCAGTATGGTCCAGTATGGTCAAGCCATCACGAACACAGCATACGGAGGTTCGCCTACCAATGTGTTGGTTAAAGGCTGTTGATTTACGTTTTATTAGAAAGGCGTTTGTCGTGTCTGTTCTGTCAAAGCACAAAGAGCACATATCATATCATCACCATGCCTGATGTAAATGCGCCTGCCTGCTTGCAATATCGTCGTCGTGGACATCAACATTGCCCGCATATCGTTCATTGATCGGGGCTTAATTTATGCTGGAGCTGCCCGGGAAAATTTCCCCCACTCCCACCCCGTTCAGTAATTTGGAAGTCAGTAGCTGGGGCGGGGGGGGGTCCTGAAAGTATTCCATGGGAAATGAAACCCTGCCTGTGATTATATATTATCATGTTATATGTGCAGTTATCAAATAACGCACGTGTGCATTCGCCTCCTAACTAAAACCCAGCAATCCACCCTTGCTATAAATCCAGATTTGATAAGGTCACGCGGTAACATGTGGACAGAGTTGAAGGAAGAAGAATGGCCGTTTCATTCACGAATGCATGGCGCACAAATCGACGTCTATTCTTGTTCTTTTCGTATCGCTTTGACTTCTAGGGATGAGGCGTCATTCATAGCGCATGATCATAGGAATGCGGCGCTTTTGTGAAGTAATAACAAAAAAACTATCTCGCAACAAATTTTGCTTTATATTGAGACTCGGACCGGTATTCTCCGGATTATACCTTAACCCTCCCCTCCTCCGCCCGATTTGTATAACTTTTTGACATTTAATGAGTACCATTTTGTGAGGATGTCAACAACACTGGTTGTCCTATGGAATATACTCGCCCCCGGCATGTGTGTGTGGAATTTACACTTCTGGCTTTTGGCCGTAGGCAAGATATTAGCCACCAGCTCAATGGTTCATTCGATCAAAATACCACTTTTTTTTAGGAATGTTGAACACTGAGCACAGCACGTCCCGGGTGTCCCTTACTTATACGGATGGGGCTTATAACACGGAGAATGCGGTAATCCCTCTTACGCGGCGCTTTAAAAATGTGATGAAGCGGGAAAGGATCCACGTGGAATGTTGGTGCAATTGATGTCACTTCGACGCCTCGCACCAGCAGGTAGCATCGCTGCACTGCTCGTGGCGAGCATTTCACAAACCAGAATATACACGGTGCATTAATATAAATGGAACAGTTGCTGCTTCAGCGATCTCCTACAATAAATAACACGTGAAATAAAAAAGATATATATTGTAGAATATATAATTATATATGTTTTTTTTTTTTTTTAACGGGAATGTCTTTTGTATACGAGAGCAAAGCGTATCGACGTTTCCAGCCGAACGTGGATTTATTTTTGGACCAAAATTGCCGCAAGGCACTCTGCTACTGGATATAAATAAGCATTGCCTTTATTTATAGCCGGCATGAAGGTAGAGAAGAGGGTCCGAGACGGACGAGCGTCGCGTCATTTCGCAGGAGCGAGAAGACGGATTAGTCGCGGTCAGCGATGGACCGTGGGGATGGCGATGGCACAGGGAGGAGGCCTTCGTCTAGCAGTGAAGAGGCAATGGCTGTTGCTGCTGCTGATGATGATTGTTGTTTACCAGGTAGCGTACATTTACAGAAGCGGCCCGGTCACAAATGATGTATGTACTATGTTGAACTTCTTTCGCACCGTACGTAGCCAACAGTGCTAATCGGAGGTGCGGCGGACGGACAGCACACTAAACACGTGATAGCTCAATGAGGTGGCGAATCGTCACGTGGAAACGTATAGCAGCCAGAGGCTCTAAACGCCTGATTCTACATGTGGAGGGAAGAATCGGAGGATCCCGAGAAAAATCCACGCGACCACGGGGAGAGAGAGAGAGACGCAAACTCCAAATGGTCAACAGGCGTCGGAGTCGGCATCGAACCTACGAGCTCCTGCATACCAGGCGAGGCAGATAACGTCGCGCTGATGATGCTGTATTC